AGCTTCGTGAATTAGTTTCATTTTGAGGATTCAGATTTTATGTCGAAAGATGTAAGTGCAGCGGAGAAGATTCTCAGCACTCAGATGCAACGACAAGTTTAGTTTGTAGTCAGTTTCTGAATGTTATCTGCTACGTCTTTCAAAATTTAAATGTCTGATGTTCATGAAGTCTCCTTCAGAAGTTGCTTTGTTTTGAGCTGCATATTAGCTCAGATATGTACATAGATTTAAAAGGCAATGCCAGGTGTGACTTGGAGAATGTGTAATTAACTGTTGTGAGAATTCAGTTTTTAGAGGATCTTTTGTTCTAAACAAGATTAGATGACGCAGGTTCAGTCTTGTCAGAAGCTGTCATTTGAGAATGTATGTCCTCATATTTGGTCTACAGATAGGTTCAGGGTCATTTCTGGTTTAGTGCAAGAAGTCTTTCTGACAGTGACCAAGCAGTGAAGATGATTGTCCTATTGAAGCAGAATTCTATTTTGACCGCACTTCATGCGTCGCACTACACAACAATTTAGAAATCATTTTGCCTGGTCCTCTTTATTGAGCCTATTCTGGACTGTTGTTGGGGTCAGCTGTACGAAAGAAACAGTTTGTGTGAAAATCTTTGGTGCGAATGCATATCCTGTTTCGATTGAAAACTAAATTTGAGGTATCCATATACTTCCGGCTGTGGATTTATTTAGAGGAAAATCCCATATCATTGACTTTTAGGATGATTCTGCTTGTTACATGTATATGAAGTAGTGATCGATGTAAGTTAGCACCTTACTTCAAGGCAGGCCTTTTTTTCCTGGTGATTATGTTTAACTTGCTTCCAGTTGAACAGCTTAAGTTGTACAAATAATCACTCCAGTTCGCACAGCCGGAAAACCAGTTGGAGTAGATGGTCCTAAATTTATTATGTATCTGGTTGAGAAATGGCTTTCTCTTGTCTAACATTCAATAAAAATACTGGTGTCAGTAATGAGACCAAGCTGTTATGCTGGGTGCAATTATGCAAATTGAGTTAGCATACTAATAGCTGGTGCCACAAATTCATTACTTTGGATGCACGTGGACTTCTAATATGCAAGTATGTCTTGGATAATTCCTGGTGACTCTTATGTGGCTGCATATTGAACCACATAATATTTGCTGTGTGTTTTTCTGGTATCTACTGTTGCTCCAAATATAGTGGTGTACAGCAAGTTTCTTAAGTAATTTGAAAGAAGTACAATCATGGAATTCAGGTCAAGTGGCCACCGTTAGAACTTTTCCAGTAAGTTAGGAACCTATCTGTGTGGTTGTATAATATGTTCAGTTCTGTGGAATTTGAGGCCTGTGTAAAATTTAAAATATCTGATGATGGAAATCCGCAGTTGTTCAGAATTCTTCTGCTCATGTAAGAGTTCTTTTCTATTGAACATGTTATCTTCCTTATATTATTACTACATGAAGCTTGTTTAATGTATAATCATGCTTCCAGCTTCTTCTTTTCTCAATTAAAACCAAGAGCCAAATGACTGAATGCATCCAGACATTTTTGTCCTTTTTATTTTTTAAACTCATGCTAGTAGCTTATCTGCTGCATCTTACTCATGCAAGTCTTTTGAAATGTTGAATACTTAGCTTATTATGTATAGAATTACACGTGGAGTACAGTGACATAAAGTGTGGTTAATGTAACGTTTGCCATTGTGGTGTTAGTTTTTCCTTTTTCTTTTATTATTCTACTTGTGCAACTTGTCATTAGTTTTCATGTCTAATTCTAGGGTATGACGTTGTTATTGTTTTCTTAGAGTTTCCTAATAGGGTTTGGTTGTGTTGGGGTGTCGTGGTAGCTCACTTTGGTTTCATATATATTTTGGCACCTTATAATTTTTGAGCTCATGTTGGCAATGAATCCACACCTTGTATGGTGTGATGTGCTTGATGAGATGCATGGGCATTGCACCGCTTTGCATGCACTGCAGCGTTTTGCTTCAATAGTTAGTATAAGCTCACTGTCATTAACATTGGTAAATTGGCGTTTCTCACGAAATACCGATTGGTGGGCTACATCACCTTCATTGGCCTGTCATCGTTTGATTTGAAATGGAGAAAAGATGTTTACTCCTAAAGGGTGAATTTAGTTAGTTAATTTTATATCATTATAGACTTTTGTCATTAGATAGTTACAGCTATTTTATTTAAATACAAAATAAATTAGACAAAATGGATGCTTAGTTTGTGCCGGCATTGACACTTCTCATGGTATTCATCCCCTACTAGTTTAAATTCTATGTACTGCAGGATTTTGTATATGCTAGTTGTGTTTTCCGAATATCGAACTCATTTTGTTGCATGAGATATCTTTAGTGGTTTTAAGGTTCTCAAGTGTAATGTTCATGTAGATTATGCTGGAAAGAGACTCAGGCCGTCCTCGTGGATTTGGATTTTTGACCTTTGCAGACCGCCGGGCAATGGAAGATGCGATAAGGGATATGCATGGTAGAGAATTTGGTGACCGGGTCATCTCAGTGAACAAGGCCCAGCCTAAATCAGGGGATGAAGATCCGGAGCATGGCTATGGAGGTTATTCTTCAGGGGGCAGGGGCAGGGGTAGGGGAAGGAGCAGTTATGGTGGAGATCGGTCATCAGGGCAGGATGATTGCTTCAAATGTGGTCGACCAGGTCATTGGGCCCGAGATTGTCCATCGGCAGGTGGTGGCCGAGGCGCTCGTCCATTCTCGCCTCCACGTTCTAGGTATAGTGGGGCTGGTAGTCGTGGGGATCGCTATGCTGTTGATCGTGACAGATACGTGGACGATAGATACGACAGAGGTCGTTATGGTGATAGCGATCGGTATGAAGATCGATATGGGAGCCGCGATCGATATGTTAATGACAGGTATTATAATAGATGTGATTTTCTCGTACCACCTCTCCATTTACATAAAAGGAAAATATAATTTGCTGAGATTATTAAATAGTCAAGGAAGAGCATGGCTAAGCTCAAAAAAAGTTGTTTTATTTTGAAGTTAATTTTACCAACTCATTTCCAACATTGACTAGTAGAAGAATTACTCCATTTTAAGACCTACACATTTACTTACAAGCAAATTTACTTAATCTTAGATAAAAACATGCTGTGTCCAGGAGACTTTATTATAAAGAGCATCTTATGTATAATAGAGTCAAAAAAATTAAATATTGACTCTTGTTGTATTTAGATAGTTTTTCGAGGATGCTCTTTGTCTATACAAGTTATCACCAGGAAACTGGTGCTGGTAACTGTTCAAGTCAATATCTCATTTTCGTAATCGTTGAAAACTTAGAGGGATGTTTTAATTTAAATTTTCATTTATAAGCAGGTATCCTCCAGCTGGAGACCGATTTGTATTAGATCGGTATCCCAATGGAAATGGTAAAGATAGAGGCTATGATAGAGATGGAGGCGGCAGAGGTAGCAGCGACAGGTATGGAGGTGGAGGTCCTGCACCTTATGAAGGAAGAAACTACAGGGACAGAGCAGGTCCTTATGACCGCCCTAGGCGAGGACGACCTTCTTCCTTTGACCGGTACTAGATATTATGCACGTTCTAGTGATCTTCAGGTGTTTACAACTTTGACGTTTTTAATGTTTTGGCTTTATTTTGTTGGGGTCTTGCACTTGATGAAGACTGGTAAATGCACTTGGTCAATTTCAAAATTCTCTTATCAGTGTTGGATGTTTGTTCCGAGTATTGTGCTAAAAAATAGAAGGTTGTTACCAATTGCAAATTTATATTTAGTCCTTGTTTGATTTCCATTTTTTGGAAAATTTATGGTTAAAAAGTAGGACAAAAATGTGATTACTTGCAAAATTATTTTATCGAGACTTGAAAATGAGTTTTAAGGAAAAGTAATTTTGAAAAGATAGAACTAGGGCTTAATTTTTTTTTTTCCCTGAAATTATTGTAAAAAAATTTAAAATTATTTTGCATTTGAATCCAGGAATAACAACCCTTGATGTCGTTGGAATCAATTTTTCATAATACTGAGTTCTCCAACCAATTAAAATTAGAATAATGGTCTATTTTTCTTTTTCAATGCTTGAGTTGATGAGATAATTGTAAACAACCATACATTTAAATTAAATTCATCGATACTCATTAAATCATTCCTCTATCGATGTATAATATGTACAAATGGGGAATAATATACAGACTGAGACTAAAAGTTCGACTGGGATTAAAACTAGAAAGAATTTATTGTTAGCTGATGAGCGATTACAAGCAATTTCAACTATATTAAGTGGTTGAATCTTGTTGGCAGACAATGATCTTTTGTACTACATTTTGTTGTTGAATGAAACCAAAGAGAGTGACTAAATATTTTTCTCCAAGAGAACCAATATGAATATTTAATTTTCCAATTTTTCTCGTGAAAATCTATCACCTGAGGCTAATAGTAAGCATACTGCACAGGTCAAGTAACACACAAATTTAGATGTTGTCATAAAAAGTTGCATATTTTATCCCCTTACAGGAGAGTAGCACTAGGATAGCAAAATGATCAAGAATTTAAAGATCGCTAAAATTTAGCCTATTGTGGAAAATATTTTAGGAACTTAAAAAGTTACTTCCAACTGTTCAGTTAAAATTAAACTTTAATTTCAACAACACATTCAAAACTACCGCTCATCATTATCAATACATTTCGTGATCCTCACCATTCTTCCTCATAAAACGTTGCTATAATCAAACCAAAAACAGAGGCTCGTGCATATTGACATTAATTCACGAAATGCGAAGTATAAAATTTAACAACGTGCGAATCCTCAATCAATCAATAAAAAACGATCTACAGAATACAAGTGCACGGCCATACTGTGTTTTCCTTATTTTTACCATTTTCCAGAGTAAAATTTGGCTTCCTTTAAAAACGCAGTTGAACTATAGTTTCATCTTCCCCGGGATATATTAATTTCAACAACTCCTGCTCAGGCTGTATGTTTCTGTAATCTCAGTAAAGACGATAAGATGTGGTTGTGCTTAGGGCCACCCACGAAGATTTTTATCCTGTTAACACGAGAATATTTCAAAACTCGTACGATAAATGCAGTTGAGGGCTGTGCTATGTCCACAAGTGTGCACAAAACCTGTTTTAGTCCATTGAAAGGATGCAAATTCTGAAAATCCACCTCAGAAATTTATATCAAGAAACAAAGAAAAATGCACGAAAATGAAAGACTGCAACTTCAGAATTGCATGTTATATATGAAACGTGATTTTCCGGAGATAAGATTTTCTGGTAATCAGATGATTCAGACCCTAATAAGTGAGGATTATAGAGACTATCAGATTGATCATCGGTTTCAGCTTTGCAAAGGTCAATTTCTCATATTAGCAGCAGAAAAAATATAGAAAAGGTAAAAATAAGGCGGGTAAGAAATTTATTTTCTTGGTTTAGAGCATGTTAGGCGAAGTTTAAAAGCAAGTCAAACTTTTAAATTTTGTTCTGAAATATGTTTGATTTGTCATATAATTAGAAAAATGATTGTTTTGACAGTTACCTAGGTTATTTTCAAAATTAGTAACCTATTACAAACTTTAATCAGCATAAAAATATTTATTTTAGAATACTCAACTTGAAATTTTCAAATCTTACCCATGTATGCACTTATTTAATTAATAAATCACCATAAGCTATAAATAATAGATGATTGAGCAGAGAGAGTAAGACGGAGGGAAAGTGTGTAAACCATGGGGAAAAAAAATAATGCCAGCATAATACAAATTATGCAGAGGAGAAGCAATAGAATATAGTCATGCATGACTTTTTTTCAAGATGATTCAATCCTAAAAAAATCCCAGGTCATAAAAAAGAAAATAAGAACATAAAGAATATTACCCCCGTCACTTGTACCACTAGCCAGTTTTCACTTCCAAACAATGTCCCCCAAAAACTGAAGAGCAGGAACACCTCTGATTTCTACATCAACGAGAGGTGCCTGAATCATCGTCAAGCTGGAGAGCTCTGGATCACTCTCGATCATGCTGATAGCACGCGTTTGATCCTGGAAAATGCAATAAGTCAATAAAATTATGATAATAATAATTACTGGAAGTCCAGGTAGGCGTTAACTTTATTGTTTGGATAAATCATACTACAAGTTTCCCACATTCGCAGTGGTGAGTAGAAGTTAATTTATCAAGACTCATGGCTCCTTCCTACAGAAACAAAATTAAAATTTAAACAACAAACATCACTCTATCCTTCCAAAGATTTAAAAAAATGTTAGCAGATAAATGAGTTTTGTTCACAATCTCAGAGTCAAGGGAAAAAGGACGCAGAAGCTGTAAAACAGTTAGAGCATGTTTGGGAAGTTCTAAAAATAAATTATTAAGTGATAGAAATGAGTAGTGAATAAGTAGGTGGTACTCGTGGGTCCCTCTAAATGTGGGGGATAAAAAAAGGCTTGAGTATTTATAAACAATCTATAAACATGAGCCAAACACATGATTAATATGCATGGCTGGATAAAATTATTTATAATTGTGTTAAAAGTAAATAAGTTTTTTTTTAAAAGAAATACCATTTTAGTCAAAGTTGAAAATACTCAAAGCCACATATCCACAAGTGAGAGACTAATTTGCTTGATCCTCATGAAAGTATGTCATTCTAAATCTGTTTGTGGGCTAAACCCTTTGGTGCTTTTCAAGCACTTGAAATTTACAATGAGGATTGCATATTGTCATTTTTATTCATTTTGTAGACTGGCTCCAGAAACACTTGACTAATGAAGAGTTTTAATTAGCCTAGACAAAATGCTTCCAACATAAAAGAGGAATTTGCACTGCTATTATTTACAAACACGTGTGCAACATTTAAAGATCTGAATCAAATGCAGCTTCAGAATGACCGCAGCCATAACTCCAGATTCCTTCATTGATAGATGATAGTAGACTTCATTTTGCTACTTCTGAATAGCTTTAAGTGCATTTTTGGCTAGGCATAATAATTTACTAACATGTTAAATGGGTTTTATTATTGGTCAAAGTTAGAAATAATTAACTTCTTTTTATATGATAAGAAAAAAGTTATGCATTCAAAAGTGTTCGGAAAATAACATTTATTTTTAAGCTTCGGAAATCATGCTCTTAATACAAAAAAAAAAGGGGTTAATTTCACAAATGGTCACTGAAGTTACCTAAAAATTTCAAAACGGTCACTAAAGTTTCAAAGTTTCTTTCAAAACGGTCACTGAATTTTCAGATTTTTTGGACAAGTTTGAAGCAATTTTTCGACAACTTCCGACTACCAAAATCGCCGATTTCGTATACCGTTGGAAAGCCCACAATATCCTCTTCAATTACCACAAAAAATCTCCCCAAAACTCCAACTGATTTTGCTGGAATAAACCCACGAAGTCAACAACCGAAAATTGTAAAAATCTGCCCAGATTTTCAGATTTTTTGGGCAAGTTTGAGGCAATATTTCGGCAACTTGCGACCACCAAAACCTTCGATTTCGGATACCATTG